TGCAGCATGCTGGCAGTCAGAGAGGTTTCCCTAGGTGACTCCATGGCCCACTCCTCATGGCGGAGTAGCCTCCCCCAAGACCAAAGCCTGGTTCCTTTCCTTTGTACAGTTATCTCCTTCTTAGCTCGAGAGGCCATATGAAAATAGGCCATTGATGGTCCAGATTTGGCTTAAGGGCCATGTTTTCCAAGCCCTGCTGTAGAAGGCAGGGAGGCATTGAGGGTGCTTGGTACAGAGTGAATGGTGGGGACAAGGGCACCAGGCCCAGGTAAGAGGGTGTCGCCAGAAAGCAGTTGATAGACCAAACAGCCTCGTCTACGTGTCTTGGGACTCCAGCTTCCCACAAACCCCCCTGAGCTGCTGGGTCCTCTGCAGCCTTACCCAGACACTGACCACAGGCTGGCAGGCCCAGAAGCCCTTCCCTTGGCTGATTCTGGACAGTGCTTGCTGAAAGAACTGAGGAATGTTCTCCAAGGCTTCGGGAGGGCGTCTTCCATGCTCCCGTTCCACTCTCCATGATTCTCAGGACAAAGTGCTGTGTTCTGAGGGGTCTAGTCTCTCAACTCCCACACCCCTCCTCTGCCAGGGATGCATCTCAGGGCCCACCTAATTCCTCCCCACGCTCTTGAACTTTGCACCAGCCTCCCACTGGTCTCTCTGCCTTCGGTCCTCCCTTAATGCTGAATTACAGCTTCTCATCAACTTGACCATGAAGTGCAGACTGCCCACTCTGGCTGCAGGCAAAATACAGCTGCAGACTCAGCCAGGCTGTTCTCTCCTGCCCTCCACTGCTCGCAGGGTTGTCACACCTCTCCCCATCCTCCTCCTCGCATCCCTTTCGTCTTTGCAGTCCTCCAGCGCTCACCATCAGCACCACGGCCCTGGCCAAATTCAATTTAGATTCTGCTCTAAATTCTCAAGCCCGCGGAATAACTTATGGGAAGCAGCTAGCTCGGTGCTTGGCACATGGCAGGTGCTTAGTAATTATGTCCTAGATGATGAGTTTGTTTATTCATTTATCTAATGGGTTTAAATTGGATGCCTGAGCTGTATACAAATGTGCCTCTTTGATCATGCCTATTTCATGTGCTGCCATTTCTCCTGCTTCAGAAAGGCGCTTTGTGAGTTTGCTTGATCTGCATGTTAGTTAATGAGTCATTATAGGAGCCTGTCTTTAAACAAAGGCCAAAGCAAGGAGAGAAAAAAGGAAAGAAAAAAGGGAAAGCGTCAGGACATTGTGTGCTGGGGGCTGGTCCAGAGGCTGCACTGCTGTGTATGTTCAGCAGTCTTCTTGGTGTAATTGGCCCCTACATTAGGGTCGATGCTCTGAAATGTGGTTTCCATCAACAGCATCTCCAACCAGTGATGTGTGAATCATTTTATGACTCGGGGTTCTGGCCTTCAGAGTAATATTTTCCCATTATAGGCCTAATAATCATACGCTCCCTTTTTGGGAGGTGTCTGAGTGAGCAGTGTCCTCTGCCCCAGGAAGGGGCTCATGTGGTGAGAACATGCAGCCACAACCGTCAGGCCCTGCAGAGCCCAGGCCCTTTCCCCTGCAGAAGGCACTATCTGCCTTCTGGTATTTTATGGCCAGTGTTTGCTGAGCACCTGCTATGATCCAAAACAAGAGCTTAAGGAAGATTTGAGAGGGTAAGTCATGGTCCCTACCTGGTGGATCTAAGACATTTGTTGGGATACCACACAGAGCAGAGTGTCAAAGAGACTGGCCTCTGGCTGCCTGGTGCAAGTCCCCTTTCCACCACTTATCTGTGTGACCCTGGGCAAGCTGCCTGAACTCCATGACTAGGCTCTCCCATTCGTAAAATGGAGCTAATCAGAGAAGCTGTTGCTGTGAGTTTTGCATGAGTTGATTACGTGTGGAGTACTCAGAACAGAGTTGGGCACGTTATGGAGGTGTCAGCTCTTGGAGTGACGGAATCACAGAAGAAAAGACAACCAAAGACTATTATTAAGCATCTCAGAGAATCTCCTAGACCCAGGGTTAGCCAACTGTGGCCTCTGAGCCAAATTCAGCTCATTGCTTGTCTTGTAGATGAAGTTTCATTGGCACACAGCCGTCCACGCACACATCATGCGTGGCTGTGCTCTTGCGACTCTAACAGTGTTGAATAGTTGCTTTAGAGATCATATAATCCATAAAGGGAAAAAGATTTACCATCAGGCCCTTTACAGAAAAGGTTTGCCAACCTTTGTTCTAGATAGTAACTACTATGAGGGATCCGAGAGCCTTGCCAGGCATCCATGCTGAAGAATTGGGAAAGGTTTGGAAAATGTCCCCATTCAACACTTTCTGAGTCCCTGGGCTGTGCCTGGCACCCCAACAGGCACTGATGGTACCGAGGTAGGGAGACCTGAGCCCTGCACTCCAGGAGGGCACAGGCAGTGGAGGAACAAGTAAGCAGATCAATCACAGGGCAACAGGTAAGGACGGAGATGGAGGGAGAGGAAGGCTGAGCCAGAGAATTCCCTGCATCAGGGTCAGTCAGAGAGAGCTGGAAATTTTCCTAGAGGAGCAAAAAGGAGAGGGAAGAGCCTATGGAAATCAGAGTCAGGAATCGGCTGCTGTGGCTAGTGTGCCTCCAGAGCTCAGATGGCTACACAGCCCAGGTGGAGCCAGAGGTCAGCAGGGAGCAGGCTCAGGGGCCCCCATCCTCATCTGTCATGAGTCCCCAGGACACATTCTGTACTGCAGGGCTGTGGAGAGTAAGAGGTGGGAAGGGGTTTTCAGCCTGAGCAAAAGATCCGGCGATGATGCTTTGCTAGCCAGCAGGGAATATTCTGGATGGGAAACCCAGAAGGAAGCCCCACTCACCCTTGGCAGCTAAATTCCATCTCCTCTTTACGAACCCACCCCACCCACTGCTTGCTGCAGGCCCGTATTCTCCCTCACCTAGACTGTTGCTGCAGCCCAGGGATCAACCTCCTGGTTTTCAACCATCCCTCAATGCTGTGGCTCCTGGAGCAAAAATCTCACGTCATACCCTTACTTAAGTCTTTCACAACTCCCAGGACAGAGCCCAACAATCTTAGCATGAAAAACAGCCCTTCATAATCTGGCTGCTCTGTTTCTCTCATGTCACCACCCTCTGCTTCCCTCTCACTTAAACAACTGCTAATTAATTAGAAGCCCTGGACAAGCCACATACTCTGTGCCTCTGGCCTCCTCTGCAGGGACTACTGTGCCTTCCACATTCATTGGTTGAACTCGTTCATCTTCCAAATCCAGGCTGGGCTTCATATTCCCCCAGGAAGCCTCCCAGGGGGGAAGGTTCTCCCTTTCTCCCAGTAGTGGCAACCCCTGCCGCCTTCCCCCGTGTCTATCTGAAAACTCACTGATGAGCTCAGGATGATCACTGTTAGCCAGAGATGCTGCAAAGAGGCCCTGCACAGGTGGTACCCAGGCTTTCTGGTCTCTTAGGGGCAAGCTGAGGCTTGACCACAAAGCAGCTTGGGGTGAAGCTCTGCAGGCTCCCTGGCAGCAGGTGGGTGCTGGACTTTTCACTTTAGAGGAAATCTGCAGAAGGCATCAGTCTCAAGTAGGAAAAATATCCATAGGCATCCTGTACTCCTTGGATTGTAAAATACAAAACAAAGGGCAACTTCAGCCTCCTCACTGGGGGAGCGATGATGACCATCAAGTTGAATGGCTCACCCCCTACACATACACCCAGTTGCCCAGGTCAGAAGACTGGGGCTCATCCTAACCCCTCCCTCTCCTCAGCCTCACATCCATCTAGGCACAAAGCCCTAGCTATCTCTGCGACCTGCCCCCTGCTCCACCCCCATCACTCCTGTCCCATTGGTCACCTGCACAACCTCAAAGCCTGGGGCCGTCCCCACCACCTGCTTCACTCCTGCAAATCATTTCTACACAAGCAGCTGTCTTCTAGACACAGTGTGTCCCCGTAACTCACCATTTAAAACTCTTCTACTGCTCCTCCCTCAGGAACAAAAATCAGTTGGGGTGAAGGGGTGGTTGGACTAAGTTCCAGGCAGACTTTTTAAGTTCTGAGCCTTCCTGCATCACCTCCCTGCACTGAAGCCTTGCCGTGTTGTCCCCCAGAGCTAGGCAGCTAGCGGGTATGCTCAGCTTCTAGATCTGCGGTCAACTAACACTGAACAACTTATTCTGGAATGTTCTGTGTCTGCCACAGCTTGCGCCCTGTGGCCCTGACTCCTTCTCAGAATGTCCCACCTCTCTCTCCCAGCATCCCCCTTTGGCATGGCGGGGTCTTCTGTAGCCTTCAGAATTCTCTCAGACGCCACCATCACCGGTAGCCTCCCCTGCCAAAGGCTGGGTGAGCTGCAGGCTCCTCTCTGCTCCCCACTGTGGCATCTGTTACCCCCCAGTGTGGTGCCTATCAGTTTACTTGTCTGTCTCCCCTTTCACCATGGGCAGGGAACATGTCGTACTCACTGTTGAAACCCCTCCTCTTAGCCTGGCATATGGTGAGGGCTTTTAGTAAATATTTGTGGAAGGCAGGATTAAAACAAGAGGGAGGAATCTTGTCGAAACCTCCTTCTGAAAACATTCATTTATTCAACAAATAAACAAACAAAAAAGATGGAGAAAGGCAGGCAGGGGAGAGGCAAAGAGAAACTCTGGCAGGTCCCTGGGGGCACAAGAGCTGAGATTCCACATGTGGCTTGAAAAATTGCCACTAAACCCAGGGGGACTTCTGTGCATTAAAGCATGAAGAAGGCATCTAATCATCTCGCAGTTGGCCAGATGTGCCCGGTTGCTGTGACAGCCTCTAGAATTGGCCAGATGTGCCATGAACATCTTCAGAAACATCAGGGGGCTCCAGAGACTGTCTAGCCTGGAGGGAAAGAGTCACACATATTAAGGTGGCACAGAAATGGTCAGTGTGGGGGGGATGGTGTCACCAGTGGCTCTGGGCGTCGGGACCTAAGGAGGCTCTGGGAGGCTTCCTCGGGGCCACAGCCTGTTCCTAACCCTGTGCTCCTGCCCCCAGGTGATCAAGCTCGCCTTTGAGGAGTTTGATTTGGAGAGGGGCTATGACACACTGACGGTCGGGGACGGTGGGCAGGATGGGGACCAGAAGACGGTTCTCTACATGTAAGTGATACAGGCATGAGATCTGGAGGGTATGGTGGCTGTGGGTGATGGGATGGGTTTGCCAAGTCCTGTCTGGTCCCAGACCTCACTGCACCAAGGATAGCGTCCGGCAGTGCTCCTGGCTTCCACAACAACCCCTCCACCTCTCTCTTCTCCAGCCAGGGGGAAAAGAGCACGGGGCACATTCTCACTGGGAATTTGCACAGAAAGGGAGCAGCATGAGCAGTGTCTCAGGGGCAGAGGAGATGGAGGCTTTACACATGAGCCGGAGCTTCCCGCCGGCAGTCTGCTGCCATTCACAGTTTTCACTGTGGGCCACGTCTTCCCGTGGCAGCCTGACCTCAGACAGGGACAGAGGGAGTGTGTTCCTAATCGTCCTGCCTACTCAGAGCCATCTGGGAATCAGGCCCTTACAGACATAGCAATCACACTTCCTGAGCTGAGAAAGGCCGGTATGACATGGGACAGTCAAGGGACAGGAAAATATCAGCCCGTCCTGGGGATTCTAGATGTTGTGCCTATGTTCCGGGGCAGGAGGAGGACATTTTGCTTCCTCTTTGTTCACAGCCAACAGCCTGACATGAAAGCTAGGAAAGCCTCCCTTCAGGGTACCTGGCCCAGTTCAGGGACAGACAGGCCCGACCTTGTCTATCTCCCTTGTAAGAAGGAGGTGGGGAGTCACAGACACTGAGCACCTACTATGCACCCAGGCACTGTATAAGGAAGTACTGTATCAGTTACCTCATGGGAGCTCCACAGAAACCCTGTGAGAAAGGTATTATCCCCATTTAACAGGTGGGGAGACTGAGGCCCAAAAGTTGCAGAGAAGGTTGCTAGCAGAAGCACCGCTTGAATTCTTGTCTTTTGATTTTGGTCAGGGACCATGTCCCATGCCATAGCCCCTCCCAGCAAGGCTAGCTCCAGGCATTCTCCCTGTGGTTCCAGGTCTGTGTGAGAAATGGCCATTCAGTAACAGCTGGCATGTCCAGAGGCCATACTGTTCTGGGTGGTTCTCATGCCTCCCCACGTTTGCCATACCTACCATCTGGGCACTTAGATGACTCATCTGATTTAGTGGTACATGGCTGGGGCTTGGGATCTGCCAGAATAAAGGCATGAAATATGAGCCCATTCTTCTTCCTGGCTACTCTACTGTGGTAGTCAGGGGTCCCCCAGAGAAACAGCTAATAGGAAATGATATATTATAGGAGGAAAGAAGGAAAAGAAGGGAGGGAGGGAGGGAAGGAGGGAGGGAGGAAGGAAGGAAGGAAGGAAGGAAGGAAGGAAGGAAGGAAGGAAGGAGATAGATAATATGTGGACAGATAGATAATAGATGATAGGTAATGGATAGATAGATAATTGATTAATGATAGATGATTGATAGATGACTGGTGATAGATAATATGTGGATAGATAGATAATAGATGATAGCTGACAGGTAATAGATGGATAGATAATAGACTAATGATAGATAGACAGATAGATAGATAGATAGATAGATAGATAGATAGTTGGCTCATGTGATTTTGGAGGCCAACAGTCCCAAGATCTTCAGGGATAGTTTGCAAGGTGGAGACCCAAGACAGTCAATGATGCCATTCTAGTCCAAAGACCAGTAGGCTGGAGACCCAGGAAGAGCCAATGTTCCAACTGAAGTCCAAAAGTGGGAAATAAGTCTATGACCCAGATCAAAGGCACCCAGGCAAGAAGAATTCTCCTAGCAGGGGAGGGTCTACTTTTTTTCTCTATTATCAGCCCTTCAACTGACTGGATGAGGCCCATCCACACTGGGGAGGACAGTCTGCTTTACTCAGTCTACAGATTTAAATGTTAATCTCATCCAAATGCATCCTCGCAGAAATACCCAAAATAATGTTTGACCAAGTATCAGGGGCCTAGTGAGGTTGACCATAAAACTGTACATCACACCTGCCTCTCTCCTTCTCCTAGTGCGTCCCCATCACTCATCTCTGCCCTAGTTTGCTGACCTGTATGGTGCATAAGCCCAGTGTGCTCAAGAGGCCAGGATGCCAGCCCTCTTTCCCCCTCATTATCCCATTCTGTTTTAACACAGAACCTTAGAACATCAGAGCTGAAAAGACTCTTGATTATACAAAACAATCCCCTTATTTAACACACAGTGAAAAAGCCCAGAGAGGCTCAGCCACCTGCCCAAGATCCCATACCAGATGAAAGGAAGAGGTAGCCAAAAGGTAACTTGGATCCAGATGTCTGGATCAGTATAGTTTGAATAGCTCCCAACAGGTTCTTTCGTAGCTCATAGGTTCTTCCATCACCCTGCAGATCTCCTTAAGCCAAAATTGATCTCAAACCTTTAGGGAAACACATGCAAAATGGCTGGGTTCCTTGGTTGTCATAATTGGGTTAAACAGAGGAAAAGCAGAGACCTCAGCCATCTCCCTTGCTCACCACCACCCCAGAGCTAGGAGCCAGTACAGGCCTGGCCTTAGTCATTATTCATTACAGAATGTCGGAACCTCAGCCTTGAGGATGTCACCGGGCCAGGCTATTGTACATATCCCAGGTGGTCTATCCTAGCTCCACCTGCCTGGTACTCATGCTATGACGATTACCTCTCTACAGCCAACTCAATAGGCCCCTAAACTTTGAAACCCCAGCAGAGATTAAGACCCGTTAATTCAATTGCCACCTCTGCAGCCCTCTGTGCTGGTAATTTGTTCCATGTCAACAGAAGGAGGGAGCCAGGTTTCTTCTGGAAACCCCAGCCTGCAAGCAGACTGCTCACTCTGCCATTCTCTGTCAGGTTGACATTGGCAAACCCACTACCCGGTCTTCACCTGTCTTCTGATCTGTGCCTTGTGGATGACACCCCTACCTCATTGGTGACAAGGGTGTTAAATGAGATAATGGGTGGGAAATTGGTCAGCACTGTGTCTGACTCAGGTTGGTGCTTGGTTTAGTGAGTTGGAACAGAATCCTCCCAGGGCTTAACCCTTTTTCAGAAAGAACGTGGCCCTCAGCTGACGGCTGTACTTTAAGCCTGATTTCTCATACTAGAATGGAAGGAGGTATGTCTTTTAAAGGAATGGACTAGGTTCCAACTGGGGAAACTGAGTTTCTGTGAAAGGAAACCCATGCAAAGACACCTTTCAGGGTATTCAGGGTGTCCTTTTTGCAATACAGTTCACATGAACAATCAAAGGTTGCAAGAATGTGGACACCACCTGGATTAGAATTGGCTCCAGCAATCCCTACCCAATCCCTGTCTCCTTGTGATCTTTGTCATGCTATGATGATTACCTCATAGATCTCATCATGGACATAGGTCTCCCTCATGAACCCAGAGGTCTGGGCAAGTGGGTCAAAGTTGATATTCAAACTCTGGTCGTGGCCAAGGTGAAGAGGCAATGAATCCTCCCAGTGCAACACTGGGCTCCAAAGTCATAAACACAGTGGGGCCCAGACTTTGCCCCTATGTGGACCTGGGTGTCATAGTTAGTCTTTTTAATGTCATAAGTTGGACAATTGTTCTACTTAGGTCAACGCCTCTAAATATCTCTCTCTTGCCAGCCTGACAGGTACGTCGGTCCCAGATCTGATTGTCAGCACCAACCATCAAATGTGGCTCCTCTTCCAGACCGATGGCAGTGGCAGCTCCCTGGGATTCAAGGCTTCTTATGAAGGTAACTGCTCTTGGGGAGCCACATGAACTCTTTCCTGGCAGCCAGAGACTTGGGTTCTCTACCTGGAATCAGAAAGCCCTGGGTTTGAATCCTGCTCTGTCCCGCACTAGTTTCACTAAGCACGTTGTTCAGCTTCTCTGAGTCCTGCCTCCTTCCTCGTTCACTGGGCCTCCTGGCTTGTCTCAAGGATTATGTGGAATAAATCACTTAAAATGCTAGGTACCCAGCACCAGGCATGTACCCCAGTTCCATCCCCATTCATTCCCGGTTCATGTGGTCTTTCAGGAGGCCTTATTTATTTTTAGGCTAATTTAGTGTCAAGAAGATGAGTGAGTGGGTGCACGTAGGGCTAGGGACAGACACACACAAGTGTGGGTGGCCTGAGGAGGATGTTGACAAAGGTCTTCCTCTCTCGCTGGGAACAGGCATCAGGGGAACTGCAAACTCCGGGGCCCAGGAGGTGCCAGAAACATCACCCTTCTGTGCACTTCCTGGATGGCCAATCGCTGCCAAGACCAGTCTCCATAAGCGAGAAGGAGGGAAAGAGAAGCCATTCCGCAAGTAATTAATCATTAAGCCCCTGTTAGGTACCAGACACCAGACCCGTGCTAGAGGGACAGATGCACCAGGTCTGGACTTTGCCTCAATGGGCTTGGGCTCTCGTGGTGAGACGGAGGGGAAGAGGAGTGAGGCGTTAAAGCCAGACGGCTCTCCCAAGAGCTGGTGGGAGCACAGAGAAGGGTGCAGCCATCATTTGGGGGTGCGGTCAGGCGAGGCTTTACCAACAAAGTGAGCCTTAAGTCCTCAAAATGACTAGGTGGCTGCTAGGGAGACAGTGGCTCAGATACCCAGTCCCCACCCCCAGGGTACCAACAGCTCTCCTGCTCCGGGGCGTGTGCTCTGTTTCCAAACTGGATATAGGACATGTATTCATTTGCTGATGCCACCCTAACAAAGCTCCACAAACAACAGAGCTTTGACTCCTGAAAACAACAGACATGTATTCTCCCACAGCCTAGAGCCATGTTTTTTAACCTTTCTTATCTCACGGTGCCCTCGAACCTAGAGTTGAACTTCTGTGGCACATTTAAATTGCGTTGATTAAAAAAAAAAAAAAGAATATACTTATTGTGCTTTGAACTTCTTCTGAAAATAATTTAATTAATGATCTTTAAAAATGTTTACAGTACACCAGTTGAAAATCACCAGTCTAGAGGCTGAAAGTTCAAAATGTCAGCGTCATCAGGGAGATGCCCACCCCCAACCCCACACCCAGAGACTCTAAGTAGAACTCTCCGCACCTCCTCCTCACTTCTCGTGGTGGCTGTCAGTTTATCATGTTCCTCGGTTGTAGCCAAGGTTGTATCACTTCAGTCTCTGCCTTTGTCATCACACACTTTCCTGTCCCTTGTTCCCTCTCCTCCTTATAAGGGCACCAGCAGATTGGATTAAAGGCCCAACCAACTCTTCTGTGGCCCCATCTTGATTTGATTCATCTGCAAAGACTATTTCCAAATAAGGACACATTTATAGGTACCATGTCTAGCTGGGCATGGTGGCTTGAGCCTATAATCCCAGCACTTTGGGAAGCCAAGGCAGGAGGATTCCTTGAGGCTGGGAGTTCACGACTAGCCTGGGCAACATATAGAGTCCCCAACTCTACAAAAAGTTGAAAAAAAAATTAAACAAGCCTGGTGGCACACACCTATAGTTCGAGTTAGTCAGGAGACTGAGGTGGGAGGATTGCTTGAGCCCCAGAGTTCAGGGCTGCAGTGAGCTATGATCTTGCCACTGCATTTCAGCCTAGATGACAGAGTAAGACCCTAACTTAGAAAAATAAATAAATAACTTCAACATATGTTCTTGAGGGAAAAAATTCAACCCAATAACAAGAGGCCAGTCCATATTTCCTACACTACCATGACATACCGTGATGTCCCCTGGGGTAAAGAGGATGGTTGTACTATTGTAAGAATAGGAAGCCCTGTGCCTGGGTGAGGCAGAAAGGCAGAGAGACAACACTTAGAGGTGACAAATGCTGAGTGCAGATCCTGGCTCTGTCCCTTTCTGGCCCCATGGCAGGTCATGGAACCTTTCTAGGGCTCTGGTTATTTATCTGTAAAATGGAGATGCCAACACAAGGTCACAGGGGTCCTGTGAAGATTGTTAGATAAAAAAATCTGAATATAGGCTTGGTGCCTATAACTCAGTGGTTAGGGCACCAACCACATACACCAAGGCAGGTGGGTTTGAACCCGGCCTTGGCCTGTTAAACAATGACAGCTGCAACAAAAGAATTGCCAGGTGTTGTAGCTGTAGTCCCAGCGGAAGCAAGAGAATGATTTAAGCCCAAGAGTTTGAGGTTGCTGTGAGCTGTAATGTGACGGCACTCTACTGAGGGTAACATAGTGACACTCTGTCTCAAAAAAAAAAAAAATGTGAATATAAGAAATGCTGCAAATTGCAGAGCACTTAGTAGCAAATGAAGCCATCCCTAGGCAGGTCAATGTCCTGGTGCATGGCTTGCTCATAAGCTGGGAAACAGAGAGAACACATCAGGCAGGAAATCAAGCGACCTCCACTCAGGACCAACCTCTTTCACTCGTTACTTTGGAAAGGGGAATGGATTTGGAGGCAGTTTCCAGGCTTCACCCCATTTCTGCAATTCTATGGATGTTCAGCAGCGAATGTTCCCAGAAGTGAGAAGAATGAGCCCGTGTCATCCACACGCCCTTAATATGTCCCTATTTTGCCAATGGTTTGGATAAGACGTAAATAGCATGAACTTAAAAGGGATGACAGCACCACTCGGCGAACAGAGTGCAGGAGGATCTCGATGGGGGTAGAGCTGCTGGCTAAATTAGTAGGATAAGATGAAGTAGGGATAAATATTGTTGTGTTTTAAGATTCAAAATATTAGCCACTAGAACTTATCCCAGGGAGTTAGTTGTGCTTTCCTTTGCCTTGAGAGAGCGTCAGAGAATGGAGCTTAGATGTGAGGACCTCAGCTTGAGATGGATAAGGAGAGGATTTGAACCAATCCCTATGAGAAATGTTGATGACCCTAAAGGTTTATCTGGGGAGAAAGTAGGTAAACTCAGGAGACTTGAGAGCTGTGTCTAAATATTTGAAGAGCTGTCATGTGGGAAAGAGGCGTTAGATTGGTGTGATGTGATTTCACTGGAAAAGAAGGGGACATAACATTTGTGGAGAGCCTACTCTGTGCCAGACACTTCATGTTCATTAGCTCAGGATTTTCAAATAGTATCATGAAAAGACTTAGGGCACCCCTGGAGACCCCCAAGATGGGTGGGGCGTGCCCAGGAGAGTGGGCTCTGGCCTTGCCTCCATTTCTTCTGCTTCCTTCTCTTCTACTCTTTGTAAGCCTTATGTAGAGAGGGGATTCATAACTAAGCATTGGTTTGAAAGGCATCTCATTCAGTGCTCACAGTGTAGGATGTGGAGACAGAAGGGCCAGGAGGCAGAGTCCAGCTTACGGATATCCTGAAGGCCTCATAAAGCCTTTGAACTTGGCCCAATGGGAAGAACCTTTGAAGGCTTAAACTGGGTGGACTCACCTTTTCCTTCTTCTCCGTCCCACCTTTGGCTTCTTATCTGAGGAGTGAAGCCCACTGTTCTGATGTTCTCACACCTTCGTGGTGAGGCCCCCCCTGCTGCAGGAAGGTGGGTGGGCTGAGTCCCCTGGTGATCTGATGTGACCCCGTGTCCCTGCCCATCCTGCTCTCTCGGCATCTCCCGCCTTCCTCCTGGCTCCCTCCACCTCTCTAGCCGGTCCTCCTTAACGGCTCCTGCAGGCTCCTGACTGCCCCTTCTCAGACCAGTCCTCAGCCTTTAGCCCTCAGATTCTAGGGCCTTTTACAGTTGCTCACATCTACTCCCATGGCTTCAGCTTCACCTAAACCTGGTGACTTGTGCATCTTCCCCCCACTTGGATTACCATCTGCCTATCACACATTTTCACATGACTTCCCCTAGGCATCTCAAACCCAACCCGGCTATGGCAGTCAGCTACCCTGACAAAATATCACAGCCTGGGTGGTTTACACAGCAGAAGTTAATTTTCTCCCAGCTCTGGAGTCTAAAAGTCTGAGATCAGGGTTTTGGCTGCTTTGGTTTCTGGTGAGGGCTCTCTTCCCGGCTTGCAGACGGCCACCTTCTTGCCATTTCCTCACAAATCCTTTCCTCAGTGCATACAAGCAAGTTCTACAGTATTTTTTTTCCAGATTAATATGATGGTATATATGATTAGGTTATGTTGTTTTTGTTACAAAAAGTCTGAATCGTATTTGAGTCCTTCACCCGAGAGGTGTGCCATAGACCCCACTCCATTGCACCTGTTGGGTGAGAGCTTACTGAGCCCCTTCTCCTCTTCCTCCTACCTGAATTTAATTATGGTTTTCTTTCCTGCAGGCCTGTAGTTGTTCATCTGCTAGTTTCAAATTAGTATTGAATACATGGGATACTTGTTTTTCCATTCTTGAGATACTTTACTAAGGAGAATGGTCTACTATTTATCCATTAAAAAAGACAGAGACTTTATCACTTTTGTTTTTACCTGGATGAACTTGCAGTATTTCTTTTATGAGGACAGCAATCCTATCAGATGAGGGACCTGCCCATATGACCTCATTGACCTTTAATTATTTCTGTAGAGGCCCCATCTCCAAATACAGTCACAGTGGGGGTTAATGGCCTCCACATATGACTCTGGGGTGGAAGGGACAAATATTTAGTCCATAACACCATTCCAAACCAAGCTTGCCAACCCACCCCCATGCACAACTTGCATCTGTGTGCTGTCTCCATGAACAGCACCACTGTCCAGCCCATCATTTCCCCTCATCTCTGCCTCCTTCTCTTCCCTGTCCCACCTCTAACTCTGCTTGCAGGCTGGCAGTCTCCCTCTGCAGCCTCCTGCTCCTCTTCCTCTGCTGTGGTTGAGTGCTCCCCCTACTCCCGCCACCATCACCCTCACTTGG